ATCCACCAAAATATAAGCGAAACCCAACAAACTAGCTATCTGGCCAACCTTGGTCGTTAACTAATTTTGTGATGTACCTCTGTTGACCTTCCTTGGATTTTATGAAAAACTGTACCTCTGTTGACCTTCCTTGGATTTTATGAAAAACCTCCTAGCTTCACGTTCATTGTCATATAAATGGTCTAAAACCCTATCGAGGAACTCCTCGGAATATTCAGACCTATGTTCCTTCAACGCTGTAGCCAACTGCTCAGTCCAGTGTATAACGTGTTGATTTCTCATTGACTGAGACATAGACTCAACAAAGGCACATAGCATTTCCTCTTCACGATTAGATTTTCTGGTTTTTTTGTTAGATGATGAAGTCATGTTGTCTTTACTCTTAGTCTTATGTCTAGTGGGTTGTGGTTGGTTAACAGCACCAGAACGTGGTTGGTTACAAGCATCAGACTGTGGTTCAGTTTCACTCTCCTCTAGAATCTCGCAATCATCATCGGGAATAGGTATGAACCTACTAGACGAATCTCGCAATCATCATCGGGAATAGGTATGAACCTACTAGACCCAATGTTAGCGTACACGGGCCTAAAAAAATCATCCTTGGCTTGATCATCACCCATGATAACTTGTAAATTTTTGAAGTGAGGAAGGGGTTTGTTTATGTACGCTTTGTACTTAGAATTGGATTTGTCCTGCAATAATAAATACTTATAAGCAGTGAATCAAATGTATTAAATTGAAGGTGACAAAATTGGATTTGTCCTGCAATAATAAATACTTATAAGCAGTGAATCAAATGTATTAAATTGAAGGTGACAACTTCAAGGCTGAATTTGTTATACCTGGGCCCAAGATTTTAAGGTTTCCTCATCCAATGTAATCATTTTACTTGTTTCATCCCACCCAGCACCACTTATATCAAGGCAAGCTTTCATGTCATTGAATTTGTTCCTCAAACATTTCAAGTGGTTAATGATATGCAGGTGAGTGAAATCAGTCCTGAATTGCATGTTGATTTTCATGGAAGCCATTTTATAAGCTTCAGCCTTGAAGTTCTTGTCTGGCTTCATGCCATCCAATGCTAAATCTGCAAGATAAGGAATAAGCACATCATCGTGCTCTGGAAGCCAAAACTTATTAGCCACGTCTCTTGAGTTCAACCTGGCACACAGAACTTTTTTTTATGGGCTAATCTTTTCCCTCTTTTCAATGGCGAAGTGTGCTCCGCACCATCAACGTCATGAATATCCTTTCCACCTGAATCACCAGTGTTCGGTGAAAATTGATTAGGTCCACTACTTTGAGAACTGGCTGTGGGAAACATCAAACCGTGTGGACTGCCTAACAAGCTCATGTATGACATTGGCGACTGTGCCATCCCACCATAATTACCATCCCATTGTGGGAATGGTGAGAAAGTATGCGGAGGTGAGGTGAATGGCTGTGGTCGAACAGGCATGTAGTTCATGTTAATCCTTGATGTAGGACTTGGCATTGCATTCGAATGAGAAGGCACGCTTTGCTTATCTGCCGGATTGTTAGCCATACCTAATATATTTTGTAAGCATAGCCATATTAACAATAAAGAAATATAAAACAATATGGGATATGTATGTATTTATTAAGGAATATACGAAATGATGATATTTCTAGTTCAAACGACATAACAAAAGAGCAAGTGATAAAAGTAGTAATGGTTTGGTACAAGCAAAGAAACAATAAACAATATCGATGTAAACAGTATTTTAAAATTCACCAAGTTATTACATAGCCATAGGACAAATACCACACTAAAGTATAGTCCATCACATTTGATTCGTCCTCATTTGTCTCTTCCCCAGTATCTTCATCAATTTCAACATTTTCATTTAAAATATCATCATCCGGATCCTCCAAGGCAATAAAGTTGTGCAACACAGTACACGCTAGTACAATGTCCACTTGAGTGGGAAATGGATAATTCGGCTTCCCCGCAAGAATTTTAAACCGATTCTTCAGTATCCCAAATGTGCACTCAATTTTTGATCTTAAAGATGAATGCCTTAAATTGAACAACTCCTTCCTATTCTTTGGTGTCCTACCGGTGTGCTCTTTTAAATGATATCGGACACCGCGATACGGGGATATGAAACCTGGCATTGTGGTGTATCCAGCGTCACATAGGTAATATTTACCTACATTAATTAAACAGTATTTTAAAATCTCAAATATTGCCAAGTATTTAATATATTATTCATAATATGCACAAGTGAGAATGAATACCATCGTAAACTCGGAGACCGTAAGGCTGTGGCCTAGACAGGGCGTCTTGTAATACCCTATAATCATTTGCTGCCCCCTCCCAGCCAGCCAAGACATAAGTAAATAGTTTATTGGGGGTGCAGGCTGCTAAGATGTTTTGGGTGACCCCTTTTCGCCCTCTAAACCGTGCAACTAGGTCACTAGGTAACACCGCGTCGACGTGTGTGCCATCTATCAAACCAATGCAGTCCTATAAAAAATTATAAATTATACATAGTTAAATAAAAAAAAGTTTATTTGGAAAATTGTTAAGTTGTATGTATTTAATTTACCTTAAAGTAAGGAAAATAATTTGAGTTGTTTGCAATCTCCTCGGGAACTTCTTTTGGGGCTTGCTTCATGTACCGATCACGTAATCCATTCATTGCTTGCAAGACTTTATTAAAATACCTGCTAACTGTTTCCCCTGATCTTATGAACTCAATTCTTATTATTCTATTTTTAGTTTTGTGCCCAATAATACTCAGGAATATAGCAAGCTGTTCTTCAACTTGAACGTGTCTCGTATCTTTTAATAAACCATTTGCTTTCATTACTTCAACAAGTTAAAAAAAGGCCCATCGGTCTCATTCTAATATAAGATTGGCAGCTATCTTGATAGCCTTCCAGAACACGTCTGAAGTGAGCCTCTCTACAATATATTTTTCTGATCCTTTCTTGCTTCGAACAATTTGATATTCTCTTGGGCTTAGCACGCATTCTCAAAATACATGTTACCAAAGTGACCACGGCGCAGACAGCTGTATTAGCACACATCCTCTTCAATTCTTCCTCATCTTCCATATTCATCTACAACCGTTTTAAAATTATCATACAGTTACAGCTTAAGATGGCTACTTATTTCTTGTCAAAATTAAGTAGATAATTGATACAAATATTTATTTCTTTTAAAGCAAGAAATCTAATTGAAATGAAAATTATTTTAAATAATGTTGCATTCCATCTCACACAATTATCAACAAGCAAGATAGACCCAAAACAAACAAACTATATGGTTAGATTACTAATAATTTACACGCACACAAAAAAAGGAAATAAAAGAAAAAAAAACAGCAATTTCAGTTATTAAAAGACTGATTTGAAACATATTATGAAATTAATCTCTACACAGATACCCGCATGAAATTAATCTACCTAACAACCTAATTCTTGCACATTTACAAAAAATCCACTACACAGATACTAATCTACCTAACAACCTAATTCTTGCACATTTACAAAAAATCCACTACACAGATACCCGCATGAATTGTTTTACTATAATATTATGAAATTAATCTCTTAAATCATTGAAATTGCTATCAGCCTCTATTTCTCATATGCTTCAAAATTAAAATTAATTCCTCAAATCACTGGAGAAATAAGTCAAAGTAAGAGGGCAAAATTTTTATACCTAGCTGCAGAGGGGGAAAATGCCGAAGTCCAAGCAAAAAACCCACCGAAGTCAAAGAAAACACCGTAGCCAACAATCACACTCCAACCAGAACAAGATCGAGAAGGGATCACCAAGAATCGAAGGCAAGAAACCCACCAACAAGCTCGTGGAAGACAAAGCTAGGGTTTCGAGAAACAGCCCCGACCCCAATTTGAAGAAGACGAAGCGCGGGAGAAGAGGCGCGAAGAAGAGGGCGATGAGGCGGGAGCAGAACAGCGATTCCAGATCTAGGGATCGAATTCGTGAGGATGAGGAATCGGAATCGACGACATAGCTCATTGTCAGAAATCTCGCCCAAATCCGCACCCAAAGCTCGGATTTGGGTTTCTATAAAAAACCGCCACTGTAGCTACTTTAGGGAAATTGTAATCCCAAAATTTTTGCTGAGCCAAACTCCAGAATAGGATTCACAAAGAATCCAAAAATTACCAAATTGCCACTGTCAGACCCCAAATGCTAATCCTATTCTATAAACTGGTGAAACAAACAGCACCTAAGTGTAGGATAGAGGTCCATCATATTCTTAGTTCTAGATAACTGCTATCACCCACTAATCATATCTCCTCACTCTATGACCAATATTATTGATCCACATAACCAATTGTAGCAATTCTTTACAATTACAGATGTAGAGAGTGAACCTCTTTATGTGTGTGCAAAGGGATATTTCTTTGGTTAAAAAAAATAGAATCATGATATCTTTAAAATAAATTTAGAGAAGTTAAAAGCAAATTCAACAAATATTAATGGCTAAAAAGTTTTAAAATTAGCACATGGGTGTCACGTCAGAAAATTAGGATGAAATTTTTCTTTGCTCTTTTTATTTCTTATGTCACTTTTCGCTTAAAATGAATCAGTACTCTATCAAATAACAACTCGTCCTAATTGAGAAAAGAAATGTTAATTTCCTATATGTAATGCAAATGATTTAATTATAATTAAGCCCAACATATTGAAAAATCATGTCCAAATAACGGAATATGAAAAGAAAAGTTTACATGTTGCACACAGGTATGCCAAAAACAAAATAATCTTTCTCTGTCCCTCTTTTCTTCTTTTGAATTGAAGAGCAAACATTATACGGCTAATTCTCCGATAAAGGAATATCCAGCATCATGTAACTAATTTTCTGAATATGGTTCACATTCTCAAATTATATTATAATGTCTCAAATGAAGTTCACAACAGCTAAAATAGGGAAATTGATGATCAAATGAAGAAATTAATCAAGTTTTGGATAAGCGTGAGGTTTTCCAATTTCGCTCTATTCTTTCATTTCCGCCGTAGTGTACTCTTTAAACCTTATGTCCTTGAACAATATGGGCTCGTGACTAGGGCCTTTAGAAGCCTTGCTAATAAGCTCAGAAATGGGCTTGACAATAACATCATAACCTGGCCCATTACCGATGGCTACGGCTATTCTCTCTCTTCTTTTGTTAACCACTGCTCTATGCTCCACGCTCTTAAATTTTCCATTGCTCATGATCTGTGCAAGGAAAGAAACAAAAGTGATTCTCGACATTTAAATGCATCTCACATTATTAATTTAGGCATAAGGGAACTTATGTGAATGCAATTAAGAATAATATAATAATGATTTACTTAGTGAAGAATATAGTCCTTAACATTATAACTGAATAGAAGATTTCATACGCTCTAAAATTTTGGTGATATGTATGATGTTGTAGTTGTAGTTAGATAGTTATGTACTTATTTGACATTCAGAGAGAGATTTTCCGAGATATATAGACTATTTGGCCTTCAAGAAATTCTAGGATTCAAACTAGGGGTGTCCATTTGGGTCCAAGGCTTGATGTCCAGACCGGACTCCGAGCCGAGCCGAGCTCCGGACCCGAGCTGTCGAGCCGGTGCCTGCACCAGAC